CTCTCGCGGTCGACCGCCACGGTCGACCGTGAATGTTTCTGGAATTTGTCACGGTCGACCGCCACGGTCGACCGCAAGAAAATTTTGTTGGCTCTGTTCATTTCGTTATCGGGTTTCGGTTTCAATTGATTAATTTTTCTGAACCCGACTCGTTCTCCACCATTGATCTCAATTCATTTCAGATCTAGTCCGTCCCTTCTTCTCCTCTTTTGATCTGACCCTCTTTCACTTTCCCCAATTCGACATTTTCCCCAAATTCTGTCGATTTCCCTTCTCGGTCGCCCGCAGCTCTCCATCGGTCGACCACGGTTATTCCCCGTCATCAACTCCGTTGGGTAATCTCTCCTCTCTTCCTTCTTGTTTCCATTCTCTCTTAGGGTTTCATTGCCTATTCTAGAGTTTTTCTACTTCAATTTCTGTCTTTTTATATCTGCCAAACCCTAGTTATTATCTAACAATTGGTATCTGACATTATGCCTCCTAAGAAGAGATCTAAGCCAGAAGCAAGTTCCTCATCTTCCATTGCCTCCCATTATGAGGATTTTCTACTGTTCAAACCCCTAATTAAAAAATATAGGGAGCTTTGTAAGTTGAAAATTCTATCTAGTAGATATATAAAATATGAGGAATTAGCTATCTATAACATTCATGAGATTCTACATGCTGTCGGGTTGGATAAACTGTTAGATGTAGAACATAAGATTCCTTATTATTCATTTCTTGTTTATCTGTTTTATGCAAACCAATATGTTACATCTTCAGCTGATAGTCTCCAAACCATCATTACTTCTGTCAAGAATATTCAGATATCTTTTTCTGCTGATGAGCTTGCGGGAATCCTTAAGATCCCGTCAAGTGACGTTGAGCTCATGTCTATCGAACACACCGATCAGGTTGTGAACGATTCTAAGTTTAAGCCCGGTTACACCTATCCTATGAACAACAAATCACTCAATCCCACTGCTAAAATCATTGCTCGTATTGTTGCTCAAAATCTCATTCCTAAGAACGATAGTTTTGATCACTTTGCCCCTGATAAGGTTAATGCTGTTTATGCCATCTTTGCCAAAATAAAAGTGAATTGGGCAAATGTTTTTCTTAAAAACATGGCATAAAAGCATTACAAATTTCTTTCCTTTGGCTGCTTCATCACCCTCATTCTCCAACACTTCGGTGTTGCTCTAACCAATGAACCCAAAGTTGATCCGGGTAAGGAATACTTTGATAGAGTTTCTCTCTCCCGTATGCAAATTTCTAACTCCTTATCTGATCCTGCTAAGCCATCATCTTCCTGTTCTCGGTCTAGAGCTTCCACCTCCTCCACTTCTGATATTTGTGCCCGATTGGATCGTCTTGAGACTCAGGTCTCAAGTATTCAGAAGGATGTCAGGACCATCCTCAGTTATCAGCGTCAGTCTCTAGGAATTCCGAATCCCTCTTCAAGTTCTGACTCTGATTCATGGGAGGACTCTGTTAGAGGATCTGCTTCTGGTTTGGGATCTGGCTCCGGATCTGCTTCTGACGATGGTGGAGATTGATTCTCGATGATTATTCGATTTATGTTTATGCTTATGTTTTGGTGAACGTAAACTTGATAGTTATGTTTTATTTTGTGTTGTAATAACTCTATGGTTTGTGTGGAAAACTATGTGGTATTGTGGAACAAATTATGGTTATGTTTACTTATGATTTTATATTAGTTTTAAATGATGCTTTGTGATTGGTTTGTTTTTTAATGTTTATAGTTGTGTATGGATGGATATGGTTGCTTAGCTCCTATATATGATCTTTATATGTTATTTAAGCAAGTTGACAGGGGGAGCTTTAGCCATATAATTGTTTATTATTTGTGCTTGAATGCAGGGGGAGCGTTGCTCCTATTTATAAAGTGAATACTTGTTATTTATATTTATTCTTTTTCCCTTTTTGATGTTGTCAAAGGGGGAGAAAAATCTACATATTGATGTACAGTTTAATGTTTAATTCATATTGATGGAATGTTATGATATGTGGTTTAATATATGGTTTTTGAATTCATGTTAATATGTGGTTTAATATGTGGTTTTTGAATTCATGTTAATATAGTTTATTCATGTTATATGTGGTTTATCAATATGTATTTCATACCATTAAATAAATTATTTGCCATCATCAAAAAAGGTGAGATTGTTGGCCCTATAGTTTTGATGATGATTTGTCAAACAATTTATTGCTAATATGTTTTCTAGTCTTTGTTGTTTTGCTTTTTCTCCTTACAGGTAATTCAACACACGACAATCAAGAGTTAAAGATTCTAGTTCATGTGTGTGTATTCACCTAGGTATAAGAGTAGTTTGCTTACATATATTGTATGTTTATATTTAAGCTCAATATGTAAAACACGACACAAATTTGACGTTTTATATCATATAAATGATTTTTCATTAAACTTTGTCATGATATCTTTTATTTCATGTTTACATCTCATTCATACTTTATTATATATATATATATAATGTATGCATGATATATATATACGTATTTACAAGTCATATCTCAATTTTCATGTTCGCGAAAAACAGGTTTTATGAACACTTTTAAAAAATAGTGTGTTTTCACAAACAAAAATTGCATTTCCAAAAATCCATTTTCAAACATGTTTATTTTATCATTTAGAAACTTTTTCCAAAGTTTTACTATTTTTGGAATTGATTTGGCATTTTTAACGCAATTTCAAAATCAGCCCAAAAACCTGTCAATTAACATGTATTAGTTTGTGGTCGACCACCACAGTCGACCGTCAGCAGTAAATTTGATTACTACGGTTATTTGTTGTTCGCGGTCGACCGTGACGGTCGACCGTGGCTCATCCAGATACTTTTGCGGTCGACCGCCAGCTTTTAAATTTGGCTTTCAGTGTTTTTGTGCTTCGCGGTCGATCGCGAGATTTTCACGGTCGACCGCCGAACTCATAATTACTTTCTCAATGGCTATATTCTGATTTGATTTTCTGTGGCTATTTTGGTCATTTCTAGTTGGTTTTGGCTGATATTTTGAGTGTGTATAAATACCTCATTACTGTAATCTTTCAATATCTAAGAGTTTGTTTTTATAATAAGTTTTAACAAGAGATTAAGAGTTGTTTAAGAGCTGTTTAAGCTGATTTCGTTAATCTGTTCCAAAAGAAGTTTTCTACAACAAGAATAAGCTTCCAACTCCTATTTGGGATCATCATCTACTGTTCTTCTTGTTTATTAAGAAGTTTTCTAAACTCTTTCTTATATAGTATATTGATTCATTTTCATAATTTCAGCTATATCTATTGAGTTACATATTTTCATTCACTGTTATCACACACACTGTATTGAGCTTAATATTCCATACTATATATTGTGGGTTGTGGTGTGTGATTTAGTGAATGTGAGCTGCATTTGCGTTCTCATTTGTTATCGAGAACAAACCATTGTATTTAACCATTGTTGTGAGTATCACTTATAATACACTTGTACACCGAGAGAAGTGTGAGGCGAGAGACATGGTCAAATCCAATAGGAATGACGTCGGTTGACGAACCTAGGGAGAGGTTGCATCCGAGCACTTGAGGAGGAGGACACGGGCTAGGTTCCTATACTTAGTGTGTAAAGTGTGATTACGTAGTGTTTGTTGTGTGAGAGTTTTCGACAAACTTGTAAACCGAGTGTGTAGAAGTTCCGGCTTCCAAACCGGATTGTGATAGTGGAGATCTCCTCGAGGTGAGGAGCGGGGACGTAGGTCGTGGTGACCGAACCTCGTAAACATATCGTTTGTTTGTGTTTTGTTTAGCGTACATTTCATTTGTGCTTATTCATATCATTCTTGTTTTTATCTATCTCATATCATTCCTGCAAGAACAAATTAATCAATATATTTTTAATTGGCATTTTATCGGGATTAGATTAGCATAAGACCCTAATCATCCCCCCTCTAGGGTCTAATAATAACTATTTATGCCTTCCGTCCAATTTTTTTGTTAATGTTAATGATGAAGATGATGATTGTAGTTACAAGGATACCGCAAGTGGGGGTGGGGAATGATGAAGATGATCGCGGATATAGTTTGAAAATTAGGTAATTAAGGGTGGTATCATGAATAAGCATTAGCTAGTGTGGTTTCTTATAATTGTCCTATCATATATAATGTGCGGTTTCACATTAATATTAATGAACAATAATAGTCTTTCAAAAGTTAATTAAGGGTAATAACATGAAATAAGCAACATAGAGATGTCTATTGTAAAAGGTTTTTTTTCTAACCATCTTAAACACATGGTAATTATACGAAAACCACTTTTGAATTTCAATTTATACATAATGCACCTTTTAAGGTGGGTTTGTGCTGCAATCAACCATCTTCCGGTCGAAATTTTCACTAAAACCCCAAAAACACCCTTAAAACTCACATTCAAGGCATGCAATTCATTTTATTATTATTTAGATCTTGTTAGGTTATAAATCACGTACATTGAACGTGAATTTTTAAGCTTATTTTTTATTTTTAGTAAAAATTTAACTGAGAAGTAGTTGATTGCAACAAAAACCCTCTTTATAAAAAAAGTTTATATATAATCAAACATTAAAAGTTATTTTTAGTAAAGAAACAAAGAAAAAAAGAAGGGGAAAAAAGCCACAATACAAGTGATTTATAGAAGAAGAAGAAAGAAACAAAGAAAAAAAGAAGGGGAAAAAAGCCACGATACAGGTGATTTATAGAAGAAGAAGAAAGAAAGAAAGAAGGGGAAAAAATACCCAATACAAAGGAGCAAGCATCCAATGCCTATAACCCGTGATCGCCATCTCTCACCTCCTGAATATTATAGTTCACAAAACAATAAACAGCACAGACATTGAGAAAGCGACAAGGTCAAAGCAAGAATACGACGGGGGCTTCAACAAACCCTCATTAATACCACCGTCACCATCCTTTTCAAAAAAGTACTTTAAAGTAACGCTCATCAACTTTTTCAACCGTTGCGACTCTCACTCCCATCCATATCCCGGCTGTCTGTATACCCTTGGCATCGTTACTTATTTACGATAATGCCACTGAGCTCCGTTCTCGAGGAGCTCGAGGCCCAGCGACCGCAGGCAGAATCTTTGGATATCAGCCCAGCTCACGCTACCTCCAACCTGCAATGGCATCTACTGCTCCTTATTTGCCCTCACCTGTCTTACTTATCTACAGTTTTGCCACTGTTTGTCTTCTGCTTCAACCTCAGTCTTTGTCCCTCTCTCCTCTTATGGGCAGAATTTTTTACGGGACTAGGGTTCTGATGAATGGCTTCTAATGTGTAATTCCTCTGGTGAGTTCTCTGCTTCTGGGTTCCCTTTTTTTTTTTACCATTTTTGGCTGCATTTTTTGTTGTAGCACCTTTTGTTTCGTAGTTTCATGTCTTGATCAAACTGTAGTGTAGGTTAGTGTAGTCCTTTTTTCGTGATAGTGAAAGCTAACTTTCTAGTTTCCTCTTGGAAAAAGTTGGGTTTTTTTTTTGCTCTGTAGTTTAGCCATTTTTGGTAGATTTATCTTAATTTTCATGCAATTGTGTATTGTTTTGCCATTTTAAGTAGATTTTCATATCTGCGTTTTTAGAAAATGGCATGATAATGTAGTTTAGTCTTTTCTTTTTTCAGGGGAAGAGAGTAGGAGACAACATTAAGGTTTTACTTAAACAAAATGGAGAAGGGGAGGAATTCACTTGAAGCACCACTGTCGAAAACTCTGGTAGCACTCAAGAGAGTCCGGTCTCTGCGAGACCCGGATACAAACTCTATGAGTAAATTGATGATGGGTATTGATAATGTGAACCTTGATGGGAATTCTAGCAAGGATGCATGTCTAGGATTGATAGATTCTAATAAACATCATGTTACCAAGTCCCGGAATTATGATACGAGAGAGAGATTGGAGGATATTGGGAGCAATTCTAATTCTGATTCTGATTCTGATTATGCTTCCTCGAAGAAATCTTCTACAATCGGAATTAGAGCCCAAAATTCAAGAAGGGGCAATTTGGTTCGGCAACCACATTATCGTCGCACAAAGAAATCATTAGAACCGTCATGGTTCCCGAATTCTTTGAATATTTTCGACGATGAAGCAAATTCGTGTAGTGAGACGAGAATCAATAGAACAGCTCGAAAGAAGAATTCAGGATATCGCAGTTGGAGGAAGCCATATAAGTCTATGGAGGAGGCAGCTATGAGTAGAGTAGGAAGCCCGTGCATGTCGACAAGTGAAGCCCGGACCTATTGTTCAGGCCGGATTGCTGCTGGGCTTGTGAACGATGGGGCTGACATTGTGGATTCGAGTATTAGTGGCTGCGGTATTAGTTATTGTTGGTCAAGGACACCAAAATACAGAGACCCAACTCTTTCTCCTGATGTTGGGACCGATGAGCATCCATTAATATCTGCTGAATGGGCCGAGAGATCTTGTAGAGAGATTGTTCCATATCCAGTGAGTCCTAGAAGTGTTAGCCAGAAATTTAGGCCTAAATCCTTCGGTGACTTGGTTGGACTTAGCTCAGTTGCTAATTCCCTATTGTTTGCGTTATCAAAAGGAAAGATTGCTCCTGTGTATTTGTTCCATGGTCCTACAGGAACTGGTAAAACCTCAACAGCCAGGATCTTTGCAGCTGCTTTGAATTGTCTATCTCTTGAAGAGGATAGGCCTTGTGGGTTTTGTCGGGAATGTGTATTTTTGTTCTCTGGAAGGAGTAGGGATGTTAAAGAGCTTGATGCTTCAAAAATAAATCGTAAAGATAGGGTGAAAGCTCTACTAAAAAGTGCTTCTCTTGCTCCGTTTTCATCTCAGTTCAAGGTCTTCATCATTGATGAATGCCAATTTCTTAAAGAGGAGACATGGGCTTCAATTTTCACTAGTGTTGAGTATTTTTCCCGGCATTCTTTGTTTATTATGATCACCACTGACCCAGATAAGCTTCCACATAGTTCTCTTTCACAATGCCAGAGGTATCACTTTCCAAAGATAAAGGATGCTGATGTTAGTTGCAGGTTGCAAAAAATTTGTACAGAAGAAGAGCTGGAATATGATAAGGACGCATTGGACTTTATTGCTACAAAATCTAATGGTTCCCTTCGAGATGCTGAGACAATTCTTGATCAATTGGGTTTGCTTGGAAAGAGAATCACACTATCTCTTGCTTATGAGCTTGTGAGTAATGAATTAACCATGGATTTCAATTACCTAGAATTTGATTGCTTTTTCATTTCTTAGTAGATACTTAATTCCACACTAGACAAGCTTATGTTCGTTCCTTTTAAATCTCATGTGCAGATAGGTGTTGTTTCTGATGAAGAGTTGTTAGATTTGCTAAATTTAGCATTAGCCTCTGATACTACTAATACAGTGCGAAAGGCTAGAGATCTTATGAAATCAAGGGTTGATCCCATGCAGTTGGTTTCACAACTTGCGAATCTTATTATGGACATTCTTTCTGGAAGAAACCAATTGGACGTTTCCGAAGCTGGAAGAATTGTGTTGGGGAGGCATGCTTGTAAGATCCATTACTTTTTTAATTTTTCCCCCTTCGCGCCAATATTATCTTTGTTTTATTTCTAGAGCAACAACTGTCACTAAGTCCTATGTTTTAAAAAGCTGGTGCCTATCTGCCTAGGTGCCTGCCTAAGCCTTGGGAGCGCCTAGGAGAGCATGAGTCTCTTATGCAGACAACACCGCTTAGATCTTGATTGTAATTTCCTCTGTTGCAGCCTCCATGTCCTCCAACCTCCTCTGAAATACTCTGACCCCCTCTACCAACTATGACACCTCCTCTACCTCCTTCGACTTTTAAAATACCTCCACTACTTAAACAAGAAAAGAAATCCATCTACGTACCTAGGCGCTAGGCACCCGTCTGACGCCTAGTGATTCCTAACACTTTCTATAACACTGGTATTTATAATTAATTATTGTAACTAATAAAAAATAAAAAAAGGAAAACCGCTCTAAGCATCGGGTTCAGCATGTAGGTCGCCTAGTGCTTTTTGTAACCTTGATTAAGTCGTACATGTTTGTTTGATGTTGATGAAGCCATCGGTCGTCTATTAAAGCATTATGTACATGAAATTTCTTATGTCATAAATTGGTTCTAAGTGACCCATTAGAGCCAAAACCTTATTTCGTAACTACACCGTTTATTTGTCTCACTAACAGATATAACTTTTTGTGTGGAATTTCTAATAGTCAACGTTCACTTATTGGTTATGATAGAGCCTCCTGAAAAGGGATTAATCATGCTTAACTTGTGAAGTAAAATTAATGATCAAAACAAGGGTGGGCTGTTCGCCAGGTCAACCTAACCGGCGACCCAACCTACATGGAATTACTGCCTAACCGCATTCTGCCTTGACCTAGCCAGGCCAAGATGGCCGGGTCATGGATCATGGCCGCGTGTCTGTCCATGGACGCAACTTAGCCCATGACTCGCGAGTTTACAATTTATTTTTCTAAATTGCTATTAGAATTTAGTAATTGTTTATTTAATTATACTTAATCTACTTTTTAACTCTTTTAAACTTTAAGTAAATAATAGAGATTGTATACATGTTGCAAATCAGTGAAGTGAATATCACATATAAAAGCATCACAAACATAGAGTTATAACGTGGTTCAGAGCAAGTTTTACGTCCACAGGATGCAAATAATTTGTCCCTTAATTTATAAAGAAAATCGAAGAGAAAAAAAGGTAGAAAAATGAAAAAAATGTCAACCGTTATGTTCATGGACCTAAATTTCTCTCTTTCTCTTTGTCAAAATCGTGAAGGAAAATTGTTGTTTCTTGTCCATGTAACCATTTTTCTGCGTCCAACCAGTCCTTTTAAACTAACGCACATCTCTACATGTGTTGTTGTAAGTTGTGTCCTCCGTTCTTGGTCACCTGCAAAAAAGGCACTTTTCAAGGTGACTGAAGGAGTCTTATTTCTACCATTTTAGTAAATTACGGACTCCCAACAATAACTTTCAAGAACTAATTCTGGATTTTCTAAAATACATCAAAAGTTCACACATGGCTACATTTGAGGTTTGCTTTTGTAACATATTTCTTTAGCCATTTTTGTAGTATACTAGTAGATCAGGATGAGCTTGTTATGCAACATTCTTCTGTAACCTGTGATAGAAACATAACATCTCTATACAAAGTGTCACGCCCCAGGCCTGTTAGCGCGATATAAGCCGTAAGATCCACTCAGTATAGCGCAATGTAAGTTATGAGATCCACTAAGTGTAGTACATTGTTTAGCTCAAACCACTGCTAAAATTGGCTAGCCAATACTACACTTGAACTCAGTGGCGTCATTGACATTATGTAAACTCTTTATTTTTTCGACGTAGGAAAATTAGTTGGGGCGTCATAATAACCTCACCTTAAATATGTGATGTCCTCATCACAGCCTAATAATGATTCATCTCAGTATCACTGACAGGCAATGTGAACTCTAAATGTGGCTCCTATGGGTTCTAGAGGTAGCTTCCACTAACTCACGCAATGTAGCACTTGCTCCCGCATAATACTTAGCTCGACAAATCCAGCAGGCAAACTGTTCCCGATACCATTTGTCCCTCTCTGGATACGGGATCCCGTCGGTACGATGTAAAGTCCTAGACTTACTGAGTGCAACACGTGATTTGATTCAATCATTGCTAAATTGACTAGTCAATATTACACTCAACTCTCAAAACCCATCATTTAAGCCCTCTTAAACTCTTATCAGTTTCTCGATGTGAGAGAATTTCTTGGATTATTACAAAAACAGTACATATTTTCTAAAGTTGTTTTAATCTCTATAATTGTAGGGTTAATTGCGAATAGACCCTTTTTAGTATCACTTGCGAGTAAACATCTTGTAGTTCTATTTGTGACGAATAGGCCCACTATAATATTAACCAAGGTGCGAATAATACAGGGGGTGTATCCTCACCAATAGGCCCTTTTAGTGAATTTTTTTACTCTTTTAAAAGTCAATAAAATCAGCAATTCAGGGTCTTTCCTCACTAATTAAAGTATAGAGCGTCTAACAACCTCCTCAAACATTTTTTAATGGTTTTAGAGTCAAAAAAATTCACTCAATGGTTCTATTTGAAAAAATAAAACTAAGAGGGTCTATTCGCAATTGGGTGATACCACAAGCGGTATATTCACAATTAAGCCTTTATTGTATAATTAAAATTATGTTGATAACACATATTGTTCAGAAAAATCTGTAAGTATTTTATATAAATTATCAATTTTTTATCCAAGGATCCATAACAACAGCTAAGTAAATGGTATTTTTTTCAAAATATTTTTTTAATTCAAACTCCATCTCCTCTACTATACCGCAAAGAACTTATGAGTTCCATAATATGTAAATGTAGCAATATTATTAACATGATAAAACACAAGATGAACTTTTGTATAGTGAAGTCCACAAAGTGTTCTACTTGAACAATTGTATAGTGAAATCAAGAAAGTACTCTGGTTGCAGCCTCAAACTTATCAAAGAACTGACAAAAAACTATATAAGTTCATTTGTAAACTATCAATAAAAAATTAGGCCCCCTTTGAATATCATGATGTTTTACTTGTTTCTATGGTATTTTTGCCAAAAATAAAACAGTATGCGTTTGAAAATCATGATGTTTTTTAAGCTAAATCATCGTCAAACCAAAAACACAACACTTATTTTAAAACACATTTTAGGTGTTTTAAGTTCGGTATTTTGATTTTGAGTTTGAGAAGGTGTTCATATAATATCTAACATAATATATTAAATGTAATTAATATAGAGTTATTATCAACATGCTTATTATATTATACTATATACGATACTATATTATAGTTAATTTAATATATTAGTAATATTTATTAAATAATATAAAAATATAATAAATAAAATATCTTATATAATAATATAATAACATATTAAATACCAATATTTAATATGTTAATAATGTATTATATAATAAATTAATAATAAAAATATAAATAAACTAATAAAAAATTTATTGATAATAAATAATAACATAATAATGATATAATAATATACTATACAATAGTATAATCTCTATAATATTATTAACTTTTTAATAATCATAAATACTAATATATTATTAAAGTACTATTAATAAACTCTAACATATTAAAAACTATAATATATTATATAATAATATATTAATTTATTAATAACATACTAGTAATAACATAATATTAACATTATTAATAATATTATATTATATGAATAATATTATAATATTATATTATATTAATAATAGTATAATATTATATTAATAATAAAATAATATTATTATAAAAATATTAATATAATATACAACAATAACAAATTGATATACCAAAATAATTAAATATATAATTATTTAAAAATAATATGTAATAATTATAATATAATAATAAATATAATATAATATAACTCATTAAAGTACAATATAATATTATAATACATTATATAATATTATATTGAATTACATTTAATACTTATAATACTATAATAATGTAAACTAAATATTATAACATTTTATTTATAATATATTTTATTATAATTAATATATAATATATTAATAATTTGTTTAATACTAATGTTATAATGGGTCAAACTAGTGTTGATAAAAAATACTTAACATGGTGTTTTGAAAATATTTTAAGGGAAAAACACAATACCATGGTGTTTTTTTTACAAAAATACAACAAGGAAAACACCATAGTATCCAAACAAAGCCTTAGTTAGATGTTTTTGTTGAGTAAATGAACCAATGTCTTTTCAGTAGCCAATGACATTCCTAAGCATGAACTAAGTAGAGTTCTATTTTGTCTTAGCATCAATTTGAAGAATTTTTCTCCCCAAGTTGAAATTATCATAACAGGAAGAAGTATGTTGCTTGGGCCACTTCCTTTCGTAAAATTCATAAACTATTTTTTTGCAAATGTTTATCAAGAAATTTTATTCCATTCTGCTCGCAAAGGTTAATGATATGATAAACACATCTAAGTTTACCTCTTATTATCGGATTCATAATTTCTTTCTGTTGACATATTAATATAGTTAGGGAGTTATTTGTAAGATGTATGTGTAGGGTCCTATATAAGCTCATGTTATCTCATATATGAAATTAGGGTTTGAATTCTATTTGGTATCAGAGCTAACCCTAGCTGCCAACCCCCTACCCCCTCTTCCGCCTTCCCCCTCGCCTTCAGTACATCCCACCCGCTGCCACGTTGCTGCTAATCCAAAGCCCCCCCTTTGCCTGTAGATCGAAGCCCCCCTTGCTGCAGATCCGAAAGCCCCTTGCTTCATTATCGAAGCCCGCTGCTACAGATCCGAAGCCCCCCTTTTGCTGCAGATCCGAAGCCCCCCACGCAGATTCCAAAGCCCCTATTGCCTCTTTCTAGCCACCGCCACCCCGAATCCCCTGCTGCACCCTGTCGAACCTAGAGTTTGGCATAGATTCCCTCGACATTTTAGTTCTAGAACTGATTAGAGGAAGAGTGTATATCTCACG